GTGGTCGGTCCCCTGTCCGTCCCTCTTGGGGTCGGGTCGACGGTCCGCGGCCGCCCCGCCGATCAGCGCTGCCGCTGGCCAGGCCGACGGTCCGCGGCCGCCCACCCGCTTGCCGGGGCCCGGCCTGCAGGGAAGAAAGGTCTACCCCCCAAAAGGTGCTCGATCGAAGACGAAAAGGGCGGGCATCGAGGGTTTGGGAAATTCGCGTTATTCGACACTCGAGCAGATAAGGGCGAACAGTCTTAAAATGATTGTTGTTGTTGTTTTTTGTGCTGTTTGCCGCTTTTGTTGCAACATTTATTTCTTCTTAAGAATAATTATTTGTTACGACCCCCTGGGGCGCGACCCCCCTCCAAAAACATAGGCCGCAGCTACATTTTCATCATTTGTTCGCGAAAGCTTCAGAAAAGTGGATGAGCTCCGGATCCGGTTTTTTGTTGACGCTCGTTTTCCCTTGCAAAAAACAATAGAAAATGAAAATTCTTGTTTTTACTTGATCAAATTGCAAGAATCCCTTGCAAAAAATAAGGTAAAGTGGACATTCGTGCGCGCAAGACGAAATCCTTCCAAAACCTTAGGTTTCGTAACGATTTTAACATAAAAACATCAAAAACCCAATGGTTTTTTAAGGAAAAATTGTCAAAATGTCACCTGCCAGGGCCATCATCCCTGTCAAATAATACCATGCGGGACACATTCGTTTTTTCTTCGCGCGCGCACGCCGAAATCTTCAAAAACCATTGGGTTTCTTAGGAATTTTAGCACCGCGCAACATAAAATCATACGATTCGCACCGTAGGTCCTCGAAAAACATCTGTACGAATTTTCAAAATTTCTACCCGCGCGCGCTGTCCGAATCCTAAAAAACCAATGGTTTTTTAACATTTATGTTACATGAGGTCGCGCGAGCTACTTTCGCAAGCTCTTTCAACGGCGTTCGCGCGCCTGCCAGGGGCCACAATCCCTTGCAAAACATACCATGCGGGACACATGCGCGCGTGTCGGAACAGGGGGAAAAGTCGTATACTAAGCTAGCGTCCAGAAAATGTTACCACAACAAAGTGGAACCTACAAGACTAGTTACCGCTGTGCGTAATTGGTTTACCGTGGGTTTCCGATCTAGGCGTCCAGGAACACGTACCACCCAAAAAACTAGTACAGGTGTTCCAGTATGTTTGACAGGGGGAAAAAGTCGCATCTACAAGCTAGTTTCCACAAGATGTTACCACAAGAAGTCATTGTAACCATGCGCCAGTGTAGTAGCCAAGGTCGTCCGCAGGCCACGAAGTGACGTGTCCGAACGTCATAGGGCGGGAAGCTGGGTGTGGGTGGTGGCGAAGAGTCGTTTGGAAATTTGGTAGAGCTTGAACCGGCCACCCCACAAAGTGGGGGTATTGCCCGCCTCCTATGAAAACCCTGGCACTGGTGTGTTGAAATGATTATTATTCTAAAGAATAATTATTGTTGGGGCCCCTGGTGCACGGCCCCCCCGCCGCGCCTAGGCCGCAGCTACATTTTCATCATTTTCGCGAGGAAGCCTCAGAAAACGATGTGATCCAGATCCGGTTGTTTTGTTGTAATCCGTTTTCCCTTGCAAAAAACACTATAAAATGACATTTCTTGTTCTAATATAATCAAATTTCAAGAATCCCTTGCAAAAAATAAGGTAAAGTGGACATTCGCGCGCGCAAGACGAAATCCTTCCAAAAGCTTAGTGTTCGCAGCGATTTTAACATAAAAACATCAAAAAACCAATGGTTTTTCAACAAAAAAATGTCAAAATCTCATCCCGCGCGCTCTTGCGGATTCGTAGGAAACCCAACACTTTTTAAACATTTCTGTCAAACGGGCTTTTGCGAGCAACTTTTTCGAACTTCTGCGACAACGGTTGCGCACCTGCCAGGGCCATCATCCCTGTCAAATAATACCATGCGGGACACATTCGTTTTTTCTTCGCGCGCGCACGCCGTCGTCGTCGGCCGCGGGGCCCTGAATAGTAGCCACGGTCGTCCGCATGCCACGAAGTGAAGTGTCCGAACGTCATAGGGCGGGAAGCTGGGTGTGGGTGGTGGCGAAGAGTCGTGTGGATATTTGGTAGAGCTTGCACTGCCCCCCCACAAAGTGGGGGTATTGGCTGGCGTCGCATGAAAACCCTGGCACTGGTGAGAACACTGAGCGTTCGGGTAAAGTGATTGTTGTTGTTGTTGTTGTTGTTGTTGTTGTTGTTGTTGTTGTTGTTGTTGTTGTTGTTGCTGTTTTTTTGGTCGATTTTCGATATTTTTTGGCGGTTTTCGTCGGCGTCTGGGGGGCCCGTTGTCGGCCCTAGGGCGGCTGGAAGTCGATCTGGGACGAGCTCTCCTGGGGACCTCTCATGGCGAATGCGGCTTCTCCTGGGGCCCTGCTTGGGACCTCCTGGGCCAATCAAGGAACCTTTCTTGAGCAATGTAGGGGCCGCAAGGCCGCATAGGCTTGTCCGAGACCGATGGCGAAAATATTTAAACAACATTGCTTCAACACGAGTGTGGCTCCTCGGGGGCATCCCGGGCAGTCGTGAATGAGTCTCTGGGGTGCGTCTGGAATCCTTTTGTGGAGGTCCTCTTGGTCGCTACCTTGGCTGGCGCGGGCATTCGTAGGCAATCTCGGGGGCTATCCTGGACAATCTCTGGCCTCTGAGTGCCTTGTTTGGCTTCCCTTGATACCAGATGGAGCCATCGTAGAGCCAGAGAGGCGTCCCAAACTAGTTTGTAGTATCTGCGCCGGCCACGGCAGAATGCGCGAACCAGCACGAGTGGCCTATTGCATTTTAAACGAGGTTTAAGGTGGGGCTAGATAGCGAACGTTATATCCACCGCAATCTTGGCTCAGCCCCATTTGCTAGTTACACGACAATGTGATTATTTACGGTTTATTCTATCAGACAAAGGCCACGTATATCAATGATCCACATTTGCCTCTCATGGTCTGTCTCCTGTCTCTCATCTTGCTTGCCATCAAGGGATGAGTCGTGGGATGCCTCAATACGTCGCCGACTTGATCCTGTGAGTAGGGTTCCCCGCTTATTACGTCACGGTAAAGCCCTCAACCCATACTGGCCCATACTTTCCACTTGGTAGCGGAGCTGGCCTCATCTTTATGTGGTTGGTTCTGACATCAGGTGTTATGTACATAACAAACTACCACGGCACAGTGTATTACCCGACTGCGCCGGCTACCAGCCACTATCTTCCCAATATTATTCAACCATTTGGTAACCTACAGTCCTATACCTCCATCCCTCCACCGCAGGGCTACACGCCACGCACAAACCAAACACTTATATTCATCCGCGAATTGACGGCCAGGTCAGACCAGACACCCAGTCGCAAACCAACCGACGCGACAAACACCACTGATACTAAACCTGACATCATCAGCTACAACATGACCATGCATTATGTCAAGGTTGCTATATTTGGAACCATATGGGTGTGCCTAGGTTTTGCCGTGGCATACGTGCGAAAAGAAGGACAGGCTTCTGGGATCCCGCAGGCAACGCGCCCTTACGCGACTTTGTTCGCGAGGTACACGCAGGGCTCAGAGTCACGAGCTGAAGTAGGACTCCACCTCAACAGGCTGCGGCATTACAGCGCGGCCTATGGGGGCCGAGCTAGGACACTAGCTATGAGGGTGCCGTCCACCAATATCAACTATGGTGCCACCTTACAGGGTAGACGCAACGTCGGAGTCACGTACATCATCTACCTACTAAGCACCACACGTGCTTCTCCGGGTCGTCCTCCGGCTCGCGCTTCCTCTGGGTCGTCCTCTGGCGCGTAGCCGCTGGGACGCACGTCGTGCGTTTCCTCTAGGTCGTGTTCCGCACGAGGAAGAGGAAGAGGAGGCGGAGGAGGAGGATGCCGGACGAGAAAAAGAAGGAGGAAGAGGAGGAGGCAGAGGGGGAACCGGACGATGATGATGATGATGATGATGATGATGATGATGATGATGATGATGATGATGATGATGATGATGATGATGATGATGATGATGATGATGATGATGATGATGATGATGATGATGATGATGATGATGATGATGATGATGATGATGATGATGATGATGATGATGATGATGAGGAGGAGGAGGAGGAGGAGGAGGAGGAGGAGGAGGAGGAAGAGGAGGAGGAATGCCCTAGGAGGCCCCAGGAGGTCCTGTGAGGCCCAGAAGGCTCCAGGAGGCCCCAAGAGGCCCCAGGAGGCCCCAGGATGAGGCAGGAGGCCAAAGGAGGAGGCAGGAGGAGGAGGAGGAGAAGGAGGAGGAGGGGGAGGAAGATGGAGACGAGGAGGAGGCGGAGGAGGGAGAGGGAGAGGAGGAGGAGGGAGAGAGGAGGAGGAGAAGGAGGAGGAGGAGGAGGAGGAGGAGGAGGAGGAGGAGGAGGACGAGGGAGAGGGAGAGGGAGAGGGAAAAGGAGGAGGAGGAGGAGGAGATGGTGGAGGAGGCAAGAGGAGGAGGAGGCAGGGATTGAGACAGGAGGAGGAGCAGGCAGGAGGAGAAGCAAGAGGCAGGAGTAGGTGGGAGAAGTGAGGGGGCATCAGGATATCCCCAAGCAGTTAGAACATATCATCATGAGGGGTCCTACCGTCGGAGTAATCTCGGAACGGTAATAATCGAGCGGGGAAAGGGGGTCGATTTAGTATACTATTTATGAATGTCCCCCCAACCCCGGCTCCCCACAGAGATATATAAAATTGTGATTTGACATCTCCACTGGATAATTTGCCTGGGTTCATTATTTTGGAATGATAAAATGGGCGGCGGTTGGGTGGGCGGGACCCAAGAGGATTGCGTAAACATCAGCCACGGTTCACTGTTCTAGAGTAATGAACCTCGGGCTTCCTTCTGGAATGGTGATAATGGAGCTTTGGGTAAGAGTGACCGATGATTCAACCACAGGATCATGCAATGAGGTTCAACAACGAATGAAACTAAACCTAGGTTTTCATGTTTAGATCATGATGTAGATCATGAAAGAGGGCCGGCGAGGATTTCACGGCCGTCCGCACTCCTACTTTTTGCAGCGTCGCCATGCCGGAGACACATTTAATTTCTTTCCGCAGCCCGAGGTTGGATCGGCGACGGATGCCCGTGCCACGGTATCGTCCCGAGCACCCGGCACACCCGTGTTCAAGTTGTTCGATAACCCGTTTTTGAAGCGACATCGCATGAAATACTCTGATGAGGATTCTCCATGCTCACATGGTCTCCCGAAGGAGGATTACCAAATGATGAATGGCGTGGTGGGCGACACCCGGGAGGGAAGCGAGCAGGTCACCATGAGTCTCGCGAAGCTGGAAGATATCGAAGACGCCTACGGCGAATCACCGCCGCCCCCTGCCTTTGTGGAAGCGCCTATGTGGCCGAACGTTGAGGCCAGACCTGCCAAGCCATCGGACCATGTGTTCCCCGAATCGGTTTGGAAAGCCTTCGGGGAACACGTGGGCGTCTTGATGGTCATCGTCGCCGTCTTGGAGGCCTCTTGGGCGATCTTTCGGCGATCTTTGGGGGCTCTTGGGCCGTCTCGGGCCGTCGGAAGGCCGAAAAAAGGGAAATGCCCAAATCCATCAAAAACCTTTGGAAAATCAGTGATTTTGGCATCTTTTGGCCTTCCTGGAGGCCCTCTTGGGGGCCTCTTGGGCCCTTTTGGGCCAGCTTCGAGCCAACTTCGGCCATCTTGGTGGGTTCCTGGCACGTCTGACGCCGTCGGGAGCCGTTTTGGGGGCCTTTCTGGGCCAACGGGGGACCCTCTTGGGGCGCTCCAGGGCCGTCTTGGAGGCCATCTTGGGCGTCTTGGAGGCCATCTTGGGCGTGTTGGAGGCCTCTTGGGCCGTCTTGGGGCCCTCTAGGGGCCATCTTGGAGGCCACTTGGGCCATCATGGGGCTCTCTTGGGGGCCTCTTGGGCGATCTTGGGGGCTTCTTGGGCCGTCTTGAGCCGTCGGAGAGCCGAAAAGGCGCAAATGCCAAAATCCTTCAAAAACCAATGGAAAATCAATGATTTTGGCCTCTTCGGACTCTCCTGGAGGACCTCTTGGAGGCCTCTTGGGCCGTCTGGGAGGCCTCTGGGGGGCCTCTTGGGCCATCTTGGGCCGTCTTGAGGCTATCTTAGGCCGTCTTGGGTACATCTTGGGCCGTCTTGGAGGCATCTAAAGGCCATCTTAGCCGTCTTGGAGACCATCTTGGAGGCATCTTGGAGGCCAGTTCGAGCCATCTTGGAGGATTTTTTCCGGTCGTTGAGCACGTTTGGGGATTTTCCGGGTGGCCGGCGGGTTCTCCCGGAGCCCATTGGGGATTTCTTTTGGAAAAAGAACCAAAACCAAAACCTGAAACGTCCAGCACGCCGTGCACCCCTGCAAGCAGGGGGCGGCGGATCCAGCTGCCTACGGCAAGTCCCGCCACCGTGCCAGTCCAGCATTATCGGTGGCTCTCGTTCGATGGGGCACTGGAGGCAGCATTCGCGAGAGATGAACAACATGGTGCCGATGATGCTGATGAAGATGTCGATGACGATGGTAATGATGATAATGATGGTGATGATGACGATGATGACGACGACGACGATGATGATGATGATGATGATGATGATGACGATGATGATTCGATGATGGCGATGACGATGGCGACGACGATGGTCATGGTGTATGACTACGATGCTGATGCTGATTATGATGTTGATGATTTTGATGGTGATGATGATGATGATCGGTGGGGTATCGTGGGAGGCCTCTCGGGGGCCTGTTGGGGGCTTGTTGGAGGCAGTTTTGAGGCCTCGTGGGAACCTCTTGGTGCTTCTTGGAGGCCTCTTAGAGCCTCCTGGGGGCTTCTGCGAATGGAAGCTTACCTGCGCTTAACGGAGGGTCTCGGGTCAGACCGCGCCCGCGGCCACCCCGCCCGCGTTCCGTATACCATCCACCCCCAGCGATAATTGCAACGATGCGATGATGGCAACGAACACGACGATGGCGATGGCAACATGAGAACGATGATGATGACGACCCCAGTGACGATGAGGAGAGACTGGCGATGACAATAATGATGACGATGCTGAAGGCAATGGCGACGACGGTGATGATGATACTTCTGATGATAGTTACGTCGATGATGAGGATACTGATTGCAAAACCACAAACGTGAGGACGAACTTGAGATCGCACTGACGGCGGTCGCAGACGACGTGCCTTAATTGATTGCCACTTCTAGATTGCAGTGTATAAGCGGACGCACGCGTACATGTACACCCAGATGTGCGCGCATGGTAGCATAAGTATGTGTGTGTCGTTGTGTAAGTACAAGAATATGTGAATAGGTGCTTAGTGCATGTGCAGGCTCGCAGTTGTGCAGGTGTGTATGTGTAGACGCCCAAGTGTACGGGCGTGCGTACACACATATATATATATATATATATATATGTCGACGTGTGTTTACACGTCGAGATAACTGTAGATGTATATGCATGTGTATGATTGGCTAAACTAGGACTGAAACGTACATTCATGTGTAGCTTGCGTGCCACTGTGCATGTGGATCCTGTGGTAGACTTACGGTGGTTTTCTCTGCCGTTGAACGGGGCAGGCCCTCCATCCCGGGGGGGGGGGCGTGCTCGAAAAGACGCCCAAACGTAGTAGTATTCAATTTCTGCGAGCCTTCTCTCCTGAAAATCGGTCCCCTCTGAGAGCCGCGGCCACGGCGTGCACACCTCGACGCGGCACACCTTTTCACACGTGTGTTGTCCCCAACTGGGAAGCGGAGTCTGGGGCTGCCGATTTTCAAATGCAGCGCTATATCATGCGATGCGTGGCTATACTATGCTAGTCCATGCTATGCTGTACCATGCAATTCCTTGCGATCCAACGCAATACGCTGTCCTGCCATGATTTACGTGGCGCTTGCAGGAAACGCGCGAGGCTGCGACATGGAGGCACGCGGTCCGAGGGAGGAGGAAGGGGAGGGATGAACGGAAAAGGAGGTAAGGAACGTTAGGAGAGGACAATTCGGGTGTGCTGTGAGAATTCCAAGCAAACGCCGATTTCATCAGTGTAAGTTGTGATGATTGTTCGAAGCGTGTAGAGATATCAACCTAGCTAAGGACCCAACCTTGTGCAGCTGCGCGTAGCTCAGAAAGGACTCTCTCTTCATGTACTGCGAGCTGTGGGCGGAAGAGAGTTGGAAGTTCCCATGTGCCACCATACATATAAGGGGGAATTGAGGCGGGGGCGCCATGAGAAGCATCCCACTGAAACCACAATTTGGATCTGCAATGGGGCGCGAAGCATGTCTGGGGAGTGCTGACTTGAACCGGCACGCCATGCGCACAATCCCAATTGCAGCTGTAGATCCTTACGGTGCACGGAACGTGGCAGAGGTGTGCTGGCTTGAGGCGGGACGGCATGCGGGCCCACACGTGATGCGGTAGCTGGAGCTCACTCTGGGGCACGAATAGTTCGAAGAGTGTGCTCAAGCGAGGCGGGGAGAGCATGCGTTCTCCCATTTAGGGCCGCAGCTGGGACTTTCCATGGGGCATGGAACGTGTGAAGTGTGCGCCAGCTTCAGGTGGGGGGGCACATGTGCGCAGCACCATCTCGTAAGTGGGGACCCCTCGGGGGACACGATCCATTCATCTGATTGGTGTTTCGAATTGCGGTGCGGTGACCGAGCTCCCACATTGGGGCCATAAAGGAGCTTCCCGTTGGGCGCAATCCGTGATCATGGTGTGCCCAAGTAAAGCGGGGCCGCCATGCGGATCTCCCCACTGGGCCAATAGTTGGGATTTCCTTTATGGGGCATCAAACGTGTGATGGGTATACCGAGTTGAGGCCGGGGACGCCTTGCGAGCTCCCCCGCTGGGATAGTTGCTAGGGCTTCCAGTTGGCGCGAAACGTGAACTGAGTACATTGAAGTGAGGCAGGGCGCGCATGCGCGCAGCACACCACTGGGGCCGTTATTGGGGCCCCCACCTGGGGCAGAACACGTAAGAGGAGTGTGCCATATTGAAACAGGGACGCCATGCGACCACCCCCACTGGGGCAGTAGTTGGGGCTTTCAATTTGGCACGAATCTCGTGAGGGGTCTGGCGGATGGAGGCGGAGATCGCGTGCGCGCAGCACCACAAAAACCGTATTTAGAACTCTTCATTCCCCACAGCGAAAGCGGGGTTATTGTGTTCCCTGTCCCCCCCCCGTGCAGGATCTCTCCACCTCCCTCCCTCCCTTCCTCACCATCGTCATCATGGTCATCATCAACACCGCGATATCATCATCACCATCGTAGTCATCATTGCATTCATCCTAACTCTCATCATGCCCATCACCATCCATCTCCACTCACACACTCATCATCCGTATCATCATACAGCGACTTGTCGGCATTTGTGGGTTTGCATGTGGCCGCACCTCCTTGCTCAAGTTCTTGAGAGAATGCAGGCATTGTTCGAACGCCTCACGCACGATCTCGCCAGTGCCCTCTCCACAGCTCTCATCGTCCGAGGCAGTTCGCCTCCGCGTCCCGCCTGCGATTGCGTGTGCTCGCCCGCGCTGCACTGTCCCGCGCTGGAGTGCCGCTGCCCAGGCGGCTTGGGTGCGGTGACCGCCGCCCCCTCGGAGGCCGAGGCCTCGGGCTTGTCGGGCACCGCGCTGGGCACCTCGCTGCTCCTCGGCGCGCTGGGCGGCTGGTCACTCGCCTGCTGGGCCTCGCGCTGCGCGGCGCCCTCGACTCGGGGTAAGCCGTTCGCGCTGGAGGCGGACGTGCGCACGACCGACTTGGCAGCGGAGGCGACAGCGCAGGCTGCGCGCTTTCGCAGAGCGTAGTCGGGATGGCGACGCCCGCCGCTGGCCAGTTCCACCTGGTGAGGTCAACGTGGGCGGCCTTGCGATCTACCACGAGCGCTTGACGCTGTTGCCTGGGTACATTCTCACGCCCGACGGCGATGACTATGCCGAGGTTGCCATCCCGAATCGCGACATCCGATCGATTCACATTCTCAGTGGCCAAGGTGAGGGGCTTCCAGGGATACCGCCTCAGCATCTATATCAGTTTCGACAGCTGCCTCGGGCCGCTGAGGTGTGGGCGGCGCTTCGCCGCGCGACGGCCCAGGGGTTCGGAGCGACGCCTGCGTCGCCGTTCTGCATCGACCTGAGTGCCACCAACGTGCTGGGATTGGCCGCTGGGGCGCTGCCGCTCCCCGACCCTGTAGCCGTCGCGCCTGGCGCGGGCGCCGGGGCCCTGGCGCCTGCGGGGGGCCCAGGGTTGCCAGGCGGCGCCGCCCCCGCGGCGGGCGCCCCGCCGGCTGCTGGTGCCGCCGCCGCGCTGCCCGCCCTCGGCGGCTCTGCAGCTGCTGGCCCCCCTGCTGGAGCTGGTGGTGTCGGCGCCCTGGCGGCCGCCCTCGGTGGCGGAGGAGCTGGGGCGCCAGCCGCCGCGGCTCCAGTGCCTGGTGCCGCGCCCGCCGCCGCTGCGCCGCCTCTCGGCGGAGACCCGCGGGCGATGGCGCTGGTGCTCGACGGCCGCGGCCTTCGGGGCATCGCCTTCAGCGACGCGGTGAAGCTGCAGACGGAGACGGTGAGGGCCGACTGGCCAGTCAAAGGCCCTCGCACACTGCTCTGGGTCCTCGGGTTCATGCTACGTATGGCTGGAGGTGCTATGGCATGACACAATAGATGGATTGCAATGATGCAGCTAGGAGAGTCCGACGAGAACGTGAAGCTCCACGAGACCTTGTGCCGCGTGATAGAGACCGCCCTCTGCCACGACCAGCTGGTGATATGCGAGCTGGCCTCTTACGAGTACCTCGCCCGCCAGTTTCAGTTGGTAGAGGAGCGCGCGTTCGAGGGGCGCGCGCGCAGGAGCCAGCCCGCGCCGAAGGCCAAGGCTCAGGCCAAGGAGCTCGCGGCTGCGGGCTTCGGTTCAGAGGTCGGCCACTTCCTCGACGCAGGAGAGACGAAAGGGAACTTGTGCATCTGTCCTGCTTTGATGGATTGGATCGCCGATCAGATGAAGATGGAAGCAGCTGTCGCGAAAGAACGCCGCAAGGCTCGTGAGGAGCGAGCCTTGCGGGCGCCATGACACCCCCTCAGGACCCTGGCCAGGATGGGCCTCACGAGCCTGTTCCCGTCCCTCGTGGGCCTGGCCAGGATTGCCCAGAGGCCCTCGTGCCTCCGCCTGGTCTGGACGCGCCCACACGTGGTGCCGATCGCCAGCGCGACGTTTTTCCGCTACCTCGTCTTCCTGTGGATGGGCGCCGCCATCTTCCGCTGGGCCGTGCTGCTCGTCTGCGCGCTGCCAAAGGTGCGGGCTGGCGCTCTCAACTGGCTCCATAGTGGCCGCGACGCGGAGCACCTCCCGCAGGTCGGTGGCGACCCGCCCGCCGTGCAGGCTGCCTCGGCGGACTACCTCTCGAGCCTGTATCGAGAGTTCGATCTGCCTGCCGCCTACTCGGAGAGGAGCAGCGCCTGCGAAGCATCCCTGGTAGAGATGCTCGCTCAGGCTCCTGGCTACGCTGGTGACAGCGGTCGGGCCCGCCCCTGCAGCCAGCCTCTCGTGGCCTGGCCCAAGTCGACGAAGGCTGTGTCCACCTCCGACGTCGTCTCGGATGCCGACTCCATCGTGCTGCAGGGCTGGAGGCAGACCATGCTGAATTCCGAGTCGGTTGCTGCGGAGCTCCGCGGCGCGCTGTGCATTCAGCGCCCGTGCGTCGATCCCGAGCTGCGCTATCCGCCTAAGTCTTACGCCCAGTTTTTGAAGCAGCTGGAGGCTCACGACATGATGCCATGGAGGGCCACCAGTTCTCAGTCTTCTCACACAATCGGTTTATTCTTCGTGGAGAAATCCAATCACATGCTTAGGCTCGTGTTCGACACTAGGCTGGCTAACTGCAGCTTTGCCACGCCGCCAGCCACCAAGCTTCCCACGCCCAGTGCGCGGGCCAGTGTCGATTGCGACGACAGCTTCGTTTTTGCACAAGGCGATATTCAATGTGCCTTCTACCACTTGCGCCTGCCGCCAGGGATGGAGTCGCTGTTCTCGCTGCCCGCGATCTCCAATCGTCACATCGGCCTCGCATTGATTAATGGGAGGCCCGTCGGTATCCACGATTTTGTGCAGCCGTTGGTCACAGTTGTTTCCATGGTTTGGAGCTGGGCCCTTCACTTTTGTCAGAGCGCCCTCGTTCGTGCCTTAACCGACGCTGGATTCGACAGTGGTGGCATGATCGTGGACGGAGGATGCCCCCGTAAGCTAATCTCTCACACCGACGCCATATGTGCTGGATACGTCCACAATTTGTGCGTTGTGTCACAAAACCCTGATATTGCCACTCGCCGTGCTCGTGAGGTCGCCGACCTTCTAACGTCCCGAGGCTTGCCTGTCCTGGAGTTCTCGGAGGCCGTCAGCAAGGGTGCCTTCACGGGCTTGCAGATTGACGGTCTCTCGGGTGTCGTTCGAGTTCGGCCCGATCGCCTCGCGCGTACGCGGCGGGCTGCACTCGGACTCATACGACGTGGTCGGGCCTCTGCGGGGGCTCTCAGCGTGCTGGTGGGCCACTGTACCTGGGGTATGATCATGAGGCGGGATGTCTTGGCGATCTTCAACTCAGCCTATAGGTTCATCAACGTGGCGGGCGCTCAACCCGCGCCTCTTTGGGATTCCGTTGTTAGGGAACTTCGAGCCGCAGTTGCCTTGATCCCCCTCTGGAGCGCCTCTACTAGGTCCAGGTGGTCGTCTGGGGTCTACGCGTCCGACGCGTCGACGTGCGGGAAGGGCGCGTGCGTCAAGGTGATCCCCCCCGACCTGGTCTCGGAGGTTGGCCGCGTGGCCGAGAAGTGGAGGCGCCACCAGGGCTCCAGTGTGCTCGCGAGGGCCCACGCCTTCAGCCCCGTAGAGCCCCATCAGGATGCCGCCGACCGTGCTCCTCCTGCCGCCCCGCTCCCTGCTGCTGTTGTGTCGTCGTCGACTACGTCTAGCTTCTTGGAGGTTCCCGAGGCTGTCTTTGCGTTCGACGGCTGGAAGACGATCCATTCGAGCAAGCACACGCGGTTTGGGTGTGATATGTTGCAGTCTGAGGCCGAGGCCTTGGGGTTCAGCATTCACCGTGCCTCGAGGACCCTCGGAGTCCACCATCATCGCATGTTTTGCCTCGTTGACAACTTGGCTCTAGCCCTCGCTGTGGGCAAAGGGCGGTCGGGGAGCCCGCATCTCGTGCGCGCGCTGAGGCGGCTCTCTGGCGTCACCCTGGCATGCGGGCTGCGGCTGCTGGTCCGATGGGTGCCCTCTGAACGGAAGGTCGCCGACAAGCCGTCGAGGGAGGGCTTCTTCGTCGGGCCGAGCTTCGAGGACCTCCTGGAGGGGCAAGTCGCGCGGCGGCCTCGTCGGGCCCAAGGAGGTGATCAAGACCGCGAGGGCTCGCAAGACCCACCCTGGGCCCTCCAGTCTCTCGCGAGGGAGTCTCTCAGTGCTGGAGGCGTCAGCCGTCTCGGCCTCCACGGGCAGGAACTACCACGACTGCGCCCAGAAGTTTCTGAGCTGGTGCCTGTGGACCGCGCGGGACTTCTCCTGCTGCGCCGACCTCGACACCGTGCTGGCGGTGCACTTCGTGCATCTGTTCCTGGACGGGTACGACAGCGCGACGGGCCGCACCACGCTGGCCGCCCTGAAGCACCATCTCCCCTCGATGCTGGTCGGGAGTCGGCCGCTGCCGCGGGCGTTTCGGGCGCTGCAGGGGTGGGCGAAGGTCGTCCCGCCCAGATGCGCCTTCCGCTGCCTCGGGTGGCGATGTTCGCGATAGTGGGCGTCCTCCTGGCGCAGGGCCGCCTGTCCGAGGCGGTGTTCGTGCGACTGGCCCTCGACACGTACCTCCGCCCGAGCGAGGCCTACCGCCTCACGGCCGCCTCGCTCATCGCCCCGCGCGTCGGGTCGAAGGGCGGCTGCCAGCACTGGGCCCTCCTGGTCAACGACGCAGCCAGCGGCAGACCTGGCAAGACGGGGGTGACCGACGAGAGCGCGATCGTGAACGACCCGTCGTTGTGGCCGCTGCTGGCCGCGCTGCGAGACGGGGGGCGGCCCGAGGCGAACTTGTGGACGTTCTCGCCCGAGCAGGTCCGCCAGGCCTTCCGAGCGGCGCTGGCGATGCTGCAGCTCGACGGCGAGCAGACGTCGCTGTACTCCCTTCGGCGCGGAGGGGCGCCCGTCGATCTCCTATCGGGCCGTCGGACGCGCAAGGAGGTCAAGGACCGCGGGCGCTGGCGGACGGATCAATCCCTGAACCGCTATGCGAAGCGGGCGCGGATGCAGCAGCGGCCGGGGCAGCTCTCACCCGCGCTGGTGGACTTCGGCGACGAGGTCGAGGCCAGGCTGCTGCAGCTGATGGAGGTGACGGCGAGGACGGGCATCTTCCCGCTCCGCCTGTCGCCCCTGGTGCCCGCGTCGGCGCCGGCCGCAGAGAAGACTGCGCCCGCGCTGACCGATCAGTGGAGGTTCGACTGAACAGGCTGTGGCGGCGTGCCCGTTTGCGCGCCTCTGTTTTGCCGTAATTCGTTACATTGTGTATCTGCGTGCCGACTCGTGTTCGATTGGCCTGCGAGGATCGCGGGCGAGGAACAGCGGCCATCAACCTAGCCAGACACCGTGCAGAGGACGCCTCGGATCCTCGGGTTGTGCAGATGCTGCTGGGCTGGGTGCGATCATCGGCCGTCTCAGGGCTGTGGGCGTCCTTGCCGTCTGCGACCTGGCCCTCCAGCGGCGCTCGATGCCGCCGCCTGGACGCCCCGCTTAATAGCGCCAACAGTGATGACGCCAATCTTCGCGCCATTCGCGTGGCGAACGCCCTAGCAGCGTCTGTCTTTAAGTTGATTCGAGAGTGCACGGCTCGTCAGGTGCTTGTGATTTTCTGGCGCCCAGAGTCAAGCCTGATCTGGCGACGTCCGCTCCTTTCCTCGCTCCTCGCCTCTGCCTCCTCTTCTTGCTCTCTCGATTCCTGCATGTTCTCGGGCCGGGTTCGGCAGAGATTGTTTTTGATCGGATGGGGCGTCCGAGATCTCAATTGCCTGTCGCGCCGTTGCCTCTGCACCCTAGGCTTGTGTGACCGTACTGGCCGCCGCCACCTTGGCGGCCTAGGGCGTCCTGCGCTGGATGCCGCTGCACGTTGCTCAGCTCGTGGGCTTCCCTTTTCAGGTAGCCACTGCAGCCACTGACATGATAGTGGCCGCTGCTCGGCAATTATCTCGTGCCGCTAGATACAAGAAAATGTTTGGTCCATGAAGTGCTGCGGCTGTGGCCATTTGTTGTGACTAGCGTTAGTTACCGAGTCTGTGCTTCGAGGCTTGCCGTTGCTCTCGTGCGCCGTCGCCCTTCTGCACAAAAGGTACCGATGGCCTCGAGAGAGCCCCGCATACAGCGACTTGTCGGCATTTGTGGGTTTGCATGTGGCCGCACCTCCTTGCTCAAGTTCTTCCCTGGGCCCTCCCGCCCAACTTGAGCCGAAGATTAACTGTTTTTTTGTGCTGCGCTGACCGAGTCTGTGTTTCGAGGCTTGCCGTTGCTCTCGTGCGCCGTCGCCCATCTGCACACCAAGTACCCGATGGCCTCGAGAGAGCCCCACAGTATCATCATCATCATCATCATCATCATCATCATCATCATCATCATCATCATCATCGTCATCGTCATAATTACCAGCATCATCACTATCGTCACAACCACTGTCGTCACCATCGTCGCCACCACCATCATCGCACACACAACGTTCTTTCTCACGCACATCATGACCATACCATGTTCTAAGACTCACCATCAGCATGTCCCTCGCAGTCTCATGTCCAAGTAATGCCGTTACTTTGGCCCTGCAAGCTTGAGTATGTAGGAAGTCTCAAACGGGGGCCTGGTCTGTGAGCGAATTGCGAGGCAGTCTCAAGCGGGAGCCCCCTCTCTATGTTAACACGGTTTTCAGTCTAGTCTACCCAATGCTGCTCAATGCCGTGGAATGCGTTCCAATCATATGCAATGCTACGCGCTGCCATGCGTCCTCGGGGACGTCTCCGACTCACCTGGGGGCCTCGGGGACGTCTCCGACTCCCAAGGGGGCATCCTCGGGGACGTCTCCGACTCGCCAGGGGGCCTCGGGGACGTCTCCGACTCTCCGGGGCGTGGCGGCCCCTCTTCAGAGACGTCTCCGACTCCCCAGGGCCGCCGCCGTCGCAAGCTTTTCGGGAGGTGGCCGGGCCCTTTCGCACGAACTTGGAGTCGTCCTCATCACTCGGCGAGTGATGAAGATGATTCAATCGTCCTCCGAAGGCTCTGGCTCCCCGTACGGGGGTTCCGCTCCCGCCCCCTGGATGGGGACGCGGGGACGTCTCCGACTCCCCTTGTCTTAAGTCGCATGGCCGTACGGGGGTTCCGCTTCCCGCCCCCCGTACGGGGAGCCTGAGGTCAATCGAAACATTACAAGCTCTGGCTCCCCGTAGGGGGGTTCCGCTCCGCACCTCCCTGGATGGGGACTCGAGGACGACCCCGACTCCCCATGCGGGGTTCCGCTTCCCCCCCCGTACGGGGAACCTGTCGTTGTCCAAGGTTCCTATTTACGGTGGCCTTTGGAAGAGTCAAGCTGGCTTTCGTCGGAGGCCCAACGGCCTCATGACAAACTTTTTGGATGCGAGGTGGTGCTAGGGCTCCATTGGAAGGGCACGCATTGCGTCCCCGCCTCAACTCGGCACACCTCTTACACGCTCCGTGCCCCATAGAAATCGCCGGTTATGGCCCAATTGGGGGAGTTCGCGCAGCATTTCCGCCTCATTGCAGCACGTTTCTCACGTGGTTCGTGCCCAAGAAGGCGCCCCACCAATGCCCAATTGAGGATCTCGCATGCCGTTCTCGCTTCTATTTGGTACATCCCTCACGCGTTTGTCGGTTCATAGGGACCTCAATTTATAGCTCAGTGGGAAAGATCGCATGGCGTCCCCGTCTCACTTCGCCGCATTCCTCTCCCGGCTCGTGCAAAATAATTTGTCCCGACGGTAGAACCCCACATGGTAATCTCTTTAGCTTGCCTGGGAATGTCCTCCAGCCCCTCCTACGACCTCCTGCTGACTCATCCTCCTGCCTGCTCCTCCTCCTGCCATATCTGATTACCTCATCTTTCTCTTCCTGCCTCATCGTCTTCTGTCTCCTCCTCCTTGCCTCCTACCTCCTTCTCGTCGTCCTCCTCCACGTGCGTAGCATTGCATATAATTCAAACGCATTCCACGGCATTGAATAGCACTGGGTAGACTAGAGTGAACAACTGGCTAGCATGGGGAGGGGGCTCCCGCTTGAGATATCCCCGCAATTCACTCGCAGACGAGGCCCCCGCTTGAGACGTTCTCCATACTCAAGCTTGCAGGGCCAAAGCAACCTCAGTTACTTGGACATGCGACTGCGACATGGTGATGGTGAGTGTGAGAACATGGTGTGGTCATGATGTGCGTGAGAATACGTTGTGTGTGCGATGATGATGGCGGCGATGGTGATGACAGTAATGGTGGCGATGATGATGCTGATAGTCATGATGATGAGTGTGTGAGTGGGTGTGGATGATAATTTGCATGATAAATATGATTATTGAGGCGCTGATGACTATGATGGTGATGATGATACCGCGGTTTCGATGATGACCATGATGACGTGGATTATGATGATGATGATGATGATGATGATGATGATGATGATGATGATGATGATGATGATGGTGATGATGATGATGATGATGATGATGATGATGATGATGAAGATGAAGAGGAAGAGGAAGAGGAAGAGGAAGAGGAAGAGGGGTAGGAGGAGAGATCCTTCGCGGGGGTGCGCAGGGAAAGCACGAACCCCACTTTGGATGTGAGCTGTAGGTAAGAGCCACATGATGCGCCAGACACGTGCAGGTGTGCCGACTTGACGCGGGGACTCTGGACGCCATGGAGGCTCACTCACTTTGACCGTACGAGACGTGTGGGAGGTGCGCCGAAATGAGGCGGGGACGCCATGCGCGCTCCTCAATTGGGGCCATCGTTGGGGCCCGTGTGACGGGTATGGCGACTTGAGGCGGGGACCGCATGCCTGCGGCACCATTTTGGCTTCAGTTGGCGCCGCTTATGGGGCGCGATCAGGGCGGGGAGTATGCCGACTTGAAGCGGGGACTACATGTGCGCAACCACACTGGGGCGGTAGTTTCCTATATTGCACGATCCGTGCGAAATACGCGAATGAGGCCTGGACGCAATGCGACCTCCCCCAATTTGGCCGTAGTGGGCGCCTATCTATGTGTGAGAGGTTGGGGTGGGGACGCCATACGAGCTCCCAGCGGGGCCGTAGGGGCTCCCTTGGGGGCACTAAACGAGCGAGGAGCGTCCCTAAATTAATGTAGGGGACGCCATGCGGGCTCCCCAATCGGGGCCGTAGTTGGAGCCCCGTAGATGGCACGAGGCGCGCGAGGGAGTGTCGAATTGAGGCTGGGACCGCGTGCGCGCGCAGCACCACTGGGACCATAGTTGGTATTCCTTCTGGGGCACGAAACGTGTGATGGGGGGGATTGAGGCGGGGACGCCATGCGCGCAACCCTAGTGGAACTGCAAATGACATGTAGATCCTTATGGGTCACGGTGCGTGTGAGGAGTGCGCCGAATTGTGGCGGGGCGCCATACGGATTGGGGCAAGAAACGTGCGAAGGTGTGCCGAATTGAGGCGGCGAAGAAGCCATGTGAGCCATTCCACTGAGGCCGTATTTGGAGGAGCGAACGACGTGTGAGGGACGTGCTGGATTGAGGCGGAGAAGCAATACGAGCCTCCGCAGCCGGGCCTATCGTTTTGAACTCACTCCGAGGCGAGGTGTTTTCGAGATACATGCGAGGTTCGTTTATCGCTGGTGATCGGTATTTATGTTTTCATACATAGATATGTGAACATACACATGTGCACACATTTGATCCACGCCGCGCCCTGCGGGGCCGAGGCATTGATGAGATAATGGTCATGGTGGCTATGATGTGTATAAACACGCAAATGCTGATAGCATTGCTCTGTGTATGATCATCATCGTCATCAGCACCGTCATCATCATGTGGACTCACCTGGCAAGCAGGAAACTGTTCCACCTGCCCTGTCCTGGCATCGGAGGAAGGATTCCTGCTCCTTTTCCTCCTTCTCCTTACCTCCCTCGTCCTCCTCCTGCTCCTCCTTCTTCCTCGCGGGGCGCCGAAATGGGGGCGACGGGCGCGCTGACCCTAGACCCCCAATCCCCTCATTCCTCCTTATCCTTCTCCTCCTCTTTCCCCCCTCCTCCTCTTCCGCGGGTCGCGGAAGGGGAAGCGACGGGCGCGGCTGACCCGAGACCCCCCCCCCGTTAAGCGCAGGTGAGGAAGGCTCGAATTGTCGGTTCGTGTTCCCCCTCTTCGGGCCGTCTTGGGCTTTCTTTGGCGCCTCTGGAGCCGTTTTAGGGCCTTCTTGGGCCGTCTTGGGGCCCTCTTGGGGGCCTCTTGGGCCGTTTTGGGGCGGTCTTGGGGGCCCCTGGGGCCGTCTTGGAACGCCGGAAGCTCGAAAAGGCGACCCCATGAATAACGTAGAAAACATAACGAAAACCATTGCTTCTAGCCTCTTTGGGCCCTCCTGGGGCTCCTCTTGGAGCGCTCTTGGGGCTTCTTTGGGGCCTCGTTAGATCGTTTTGGAAGCATCTTGGGCCATCTTGGCGGCCTTGGTGGCCTCCCCGGTCCGTCTTGGCAGCCATCTTGGGCGCATTGGAGAGCGCCAGTAACGTGTCTGGGCGCCGAAAGAGCCTCTGGAAGAGGGGGCGAGTCATGCGACGAAACGCTTCCCGGAGGGGGGGGGTCCTTTAGAAGACTACAGAAACTTTACCAGACAGCACTTGGCATTCTAGCACGCCTCAAAGAGCCAGGCGGCACGGTGGCGGACCTTCAAGAACAGTGGTCCGCCGCAGCGCAGATTGGCAGCGCTGCGAAGAGGAGCAGCAATGGTGCGGGAGACCGTGATCAACCTCCAGTTTCCCATGGAGCTCGCGGACATTAACTACAGCAGGCACGGCAGCTCCAGTTGCGCAGTGAATTTGGTTCCGTACGCGAAAAGCGACTACATCACAGTCAACGTGAGGAAGGTAGCGTTTACAGAAGTGCAACATCATTTGGCTGAATATGGATATCGTCGGAGCCGATCTGGCTCGAGCACAAGTGGCAGAAGGTCCAGGCGTTCTGCGCGGACATGTCCACGGCGCGATTGCGAAAGGCGCGCAATTTCAAAGAGACTGGTCTGAACGAATTCGCAGGTATATTGAAGAGTTTATACAACGCAGGTTTCCGCCTCATGAAGCCCACCGCGCAGGTTATGATTCAAATCTTTGGTACTGCAACTCAGACAATGACAAACATGCAGACATCAGCGCCGCTGAAGAATTAATCACAAATTATTTATGCTTCGCGTATCCCCACCAGCCCATCTCTCAACAGCAACTCTTGCGAAGCATGCCGACAGTCGTGTTTTTCAGGCGTGTTTCCGCCTGCCCCCGCATATCTCCCCTGTTACTCCTTCCTCCCGCCTCCTTGTACATCCTCCTTGTGGGGGGAGCGGGAGAAGGACGAGGCGGAGGAGGAGGGAGAGAAAGCGCGCCTCGTGGTTTGAGTCGTTTGGGGTTTCTCGTCCTGGTGTGAGTCGTTCGGGCCCTTCTTCCTGGTGTGAGTCGTTCGGGCTCTTCGTGGTGTGAGTCGTTCGGGCTCTTCGTCCTGGTGTGAGTCGTTCGGGCTTCTCGTGGTGTGAGTTGTTCGGGCCCCTCGTCCTGGTGTGAGTCGTTCGGGCCCCTCCTCCTGGTGTGACTCGTTCGGGCTCCTCGTGGTGTGAGTCGTTCGGGGCCCTCGTCGTGGTGTGAGTCGTTCGGGCTCCTCGTGGTGGCTTGTATGAGCGCTGCCCCTCCTCCTGGTGTGACTCGTTCGGGCTCCTCGTGGTGTGAGTCGTTCGAGGCCCGCGTCGTGGTGTGAGTCGTTCGGGCTCCTCGTGGTGTGAGTCGTTCGGGCGCCTCGTCCTGGTGTAAGTCGTTCGGGAACCTCCTTGTGGTGTGAGTCGTTCGGGCTCTTCGTGGTGTGAGTCGTTCGGGCCCCTCGCCCTGGTGTGAGTCGTTCGGGCTCCTCGTGGGGCCTCTTGGGGGCCTCTTGGAGCCTCTTGGGGCCTCTTGGGGGCCTCTTGGGGGCCTCTTGGGGGCCTCTTGGGGGCCTCTTGGGGCCTCTTGGGGGCCTCTTGGGGGCCTCTTGGGGGCCTCTTGGGGCCTCTTGGGGGCCTCTGGCGGGCATCTTGGAGGCCTCTTGGGAGCCTCCTGGGGGTCTCTTGGGGCCATCTTGGGGCCTCTTGCGACCTCCTCAGAAGCGCAACGGAGCGCTGCCCCCTGAGAAGGACAAAATGAAGCCAAAACCTTCGTAAAATGAATGATTTTGCTATGAAGGAGGATGAGCGCGGCCCCCTCAGGAGGCCAAAATGGGGCCAAAACCATATTAAAATCAATGATTTCTGTTTCAAAGACGAGCAGAGGGGCCAAACTCCCTCCCCCCCTCGGGGCCAGAATCCTCGTGAGGGTCGTCGTTTTTTGGCCCTCCCAGGAGTCGAATAAGACCCCCCTGACACCACCCCGGACTCCCTGTCCAGGTCCAGGGGGAGGGGGTAGGGGGAGGGGTAAACCCCTCCCCGAAGGGGAAGAAGGGGGGTTGAGGACAGAGCGGGCTCTCTAAACCACTCACGCCCAAAGGGCTGGTGGGACTTCCACATCCCGCTGCCGCATTTCTTCGCATTGCAGAAGTTGTTCTGGGATCGCCCGCGCCATTCGAAAGGATTCACGAGGTTTTCGCCGCATTCGCCGACCAAATGGGGACGTCCCCCAATTGGGGCCACCAAGGAACGTTTGCGGGCGTCAGCGGGGCCGCCTCGGGCCAGCTAGGGCGGGCATCCTGGCCGGAGGAGGGGGAGGAGGAGGGGGGGGAGGGGGTCGGAGGGGGAGAATGAGGAGGAGATGGAGGGAGGCGGAGGCGGGGGGAACATGAGAGGACAGCGAGGAGGAGGATCGGGGCCCTCTTGGGCCATTCTGCAGCCGTGTGGCGAGGGCCTTAGGTAGGGCCAAGGAGGGCCCCGAGACGGCTCCAAGAGGACTCCCTGGCGCTTGCCCCCAAGAGCCCGTTCGGAAAAAACCCTGGCGATCACGCGCGCGACCGGCCCCGCCCCCCCCCCTTGTAGTTGGGCGGTCGTCCGGCGACGACCGCGGACGTCTTGTGGCGCTCGCAGGCTGCTGCGGCGTTCAAAGACATGTTGTTGTGTTCACAGAGGCTCCGTGGCACTCGCGAGGGGAAGCGGTGCTCGCAGTTGCCGGCGCTGAGTGGTGCATGCGGGCACTGAAGGCGCGCGCGGGCGTTGTGTAGTATGTGGTCGTCGCGGCGTTCATAGTCGTTGTGGCGCGCGCAGGCATTGCGGGCTCAACTGCAGGGGGCCGTCTCCAAGGCAAG